ATAAATCGCCATCAGATGAGGAGCGATCAGGAGACACTGACGGTGAGATTAAGATTTCAGGTTAATCGTGGAGAGCTTTAGGTCCAAGCGCGTAGCGCGGAAGCTTTGGCGTTTTATTAAATTATTAGAGAAAGGAGATGATTCGTTGAACCTTTCTTGACTCTTAATCCGTGTCTAAATTCAGTTTCTTTGACGTTTCATGAAATTATTAGAGAAAGAAGACGATTCGTTACACCGTTCTCGACTCTTAATCCTTGTTTGGATCAAGTTCCCCTTCATCCGCGCGTAGCGCGGAAGCTCTGACGTTTCATTAAATTATTAAAGAAAGAAGACGATTCGTTGTACCATTCTCGACTCTGTTTAGGTCCTTTGCACGCAAGGCGTCATTGCTTGGCGTAGAACCCCGTCAGCTACTGGCGCAGGTTTGATGCGCCACTGCCTGATGTAGAACCATGGCGCATCGTACGTACTATGATCGTGTGTGTATAATATGACGCAAACAAAATTAATGATGAAGAGAATCGCTTTGATCACGGGGGCAATAAATCAATCCATACTTTCCACCAAACTAGTTTGATGCCATTATAGTGATCCCAGATGATATTTTTCATAGAGCCATTTTCTTTCTTTTCTCCGTTTCTTTTGAGTATGTTAATTTATAAGTGTCATAATCATAGGTTATGTAAGATTTTTTTTTGGGAGGTGTTCAGGTATTCTTTTTTATAAAACGAAGTATGCATGCTTAAATACTTCAGATGGAATGTGTTTTCACTTGATTGTATAACTTGCTCTACATACTACATCATTTAGGTTTACATTTACGTTATTTATTTGAGATTTGAAATCTTGTGGTTTTATATGTTATTTTCCCATGAAATATCATTTGGAGAAAGAAATGGAGAAAATATGTAATGAGGAAGTCCACAATGAATATCCTTTGAATTGAATGGTAATTACAACATTTCACTTCTAATGATCATAATATTCTACCTCATATTCTTCCTCATGTTCTTTAAATAATTCTAGAAAGCAACGTCTTGTCTACAGGAACCACCGGCTCTGGTGGAAAGTCCCCTGAAGCGCTCCTGCAGAGGACAAACGGAGGATTCATGGGCGTGCCTTTTTCAAGCTGGAAAGGGCTTGCACCAGTGTGCAGCAGTAACGTCATTAAATGGACCAACCAACAAGCTCTCTATTGGATTGAAGAGAATGGCTTCCCGAGACTGACGCCATGGTTTAAAGGATGGGACGGGGAGGATCTCTTAGGACTTAAAGAGATGGCTATATCAGCACCCTTGGTCTTCTATAAGAAGATGGAGTCCGAGTTTGGACTTAAGAAGACACTAGAGCTTGTACGCTTCAAGCGGTTATTAGATAAGATTATCTAAAGCACCCTTTCAGAAAAGCTTTCAAGAGATCAATTCGAGGGTGATTTCGATACTCTATTATACAGTGCGTCCCAGAAAAAACGAAACCGAGAATTATCGATGTTTTATCATATCTTAATCACAATTATAATTAATGAATGACACATATTTGTAAAGCTTTGATCCTGCTCTTTTATTTGATGCAACTCATAATGATGCACAAGTCACGTATGAGTGATAAACAACATCAATTTGAAGAGAGGGAACCAGAAATTCATTTGGTGGACGGTATTTGAATTTCAATATGCGTCTGATGAGTTGCATCAAATGAAAGAGGAGGATTTAAGCTTTATAAATATGTTTCATATATTAATTATAATTGTGATTAAGTTATGATAAAACATTGATAATTCTCGGTTTCGTTTTTTCTGGGACGCACTGTATATAATATATAAATGGGATATATTTCATTGATCATGCTGGGATTACGTAACATGTCATTATAACACTCGCACATTTCACTAGATAATGGACAAGACTATTGAGATTTCAAAAGTCCTTGTGATCGTGTCAATGGTAAATCATGTGTCCTGATTCAATGACCCAGATTTAATGGGGAATATAAACTCTTAAACCCATTTTTCTGCCATGAACTAGGTATTATATTATTAGGAAATACGTCATTTGATACAAAACATCCTATTGGCTGAAAGGCTATCATGTGATACTCAATAATTTTCTATGTGCATGAATGTGCAATAAATTTTAATTGGAGAGAAGCGAGGATTAGATCACAAATGTTTATATAAATTATATAACAGATATCGAATGCATATCATCATCTCATATGGTGTATATTATATTCACCTAGAAATTCCTTTCAACCTTGGCCACCTCCAGACTTTGTGCAATTATGAGATCCCTTGTGATATTCTGGATGTGTTGGTTCATGTTATTATTTTGTGATACTGAACTCAGGAGAATTGACTATTTATTACAGAAAGACCTGTGATATATACCGCTCAAAGGAGACAAGCAAATTGGTCCTTATAGGTATTTATGCACAGGTTTCTATGAGAAATGATTTTCAAATGTCGTCTTTTTAGACTGGTGGTCTTTGTATACAGGTGGTCGCTAAAGCAGGTTTGACTGTATATCATTCGTCCTGTAGGTAACTCATGAGGAAGGAATGAGATAATGTATAAAGTGCCTTCCGAAAATTCTGCAAATAAATCTGAAGTTGTGCCTTCAATGTATTGATCTTCTTCTCTCTCTCTTTCTCTCTCTCTCTCTCTCTCTCTTAGTATTTAATATGTATAATTAATTAATTTTGTTAATTAAAAACCAAAGAAGGCAGAATTTTCATCCTTTCATATTGATTGGTGATAGAACAATTGCTTGTGTTTTCATAATGAAATTATTGCTTTTATTGCAGTCGGTAACAGAAAAAAAAGTTCCATTTTGCGTTTCACATGCAATGAATTAATAATAAAAAAAAACACATTTCAAACAGCACTATTTACAAGTTTGTATTTTCTTTTATTTGTAATATTTGGGCTTCAAATACGATCATATACATGTTTCAAATTTAAGGCTCGACCACAGCAAGCGTACTGTTTTCGGTAGTGATAAATTCATATAATTATTTTATCTGTTCTACAAAGCAAAACAGGCAAAAACCTTCATAAAATTGACTATAATAAAGCTCTATCCATGTCTGTATAGAATGTCTCTGTGTACAATACCATTGGTTGACTATAAACATGTTTCATACTTGATATTCAGCACCATCAAATCAATTTTTCAGTAGAAGAAGAGAAAAAAAGGAGCATAAATCAGTGCCAAAATAAAATAATTCTTTACTTTCATGAACACTCATGTCAAATAAAATCAATCTACAATTTGAATAATTTACTGCATGCATTACTGTTCATGTAAGCTCCAATTGAATTATTATAAATCAAATATGCATTTGAATGCAATATAACTATAACTTATGAAAGGTATTCAAAACTAGTAGTAGCTTTTACTAACAAATTCTGTACACATCATTCTAGATATGATGAAAAAACAGATGAATATCATATTCTAACAATTTACCAAATAAAACAAATTGTTGAATGGTTGCATGCGCTAACAGAAGAAGGGTATAAGCAAACACGCTTGCCATACACCAAATTTCTTGTAACTTGCTTCCTTAGGTTTGAATGCCCTATATACCTACATACTGTACCCTTTCGAGTACGTGACATGGATTTCTTTCTTCATTGACAAATAATGAAGTAAAAATCCATCGTAATTACCTACTTGGAGTACTTTAGTATCAATTAAGTGTCTGCACAGTTTCTAACTACAAGATAATTTTAAAATGTAAAACCCCGACCAAGTTATTGGGCTGTCTTGCGAATCTAACTATTGCTATCATTGAGGTATGACCAGGCCTTTAGTTTCACATTCCAAGTTGTTATAAATAAATACAGATCTCAAAGCATGAACATTGAAGCCCTATGGGTTCATAAGGTTATTGCCAGCCCTTTGAAAACAAGCCTTTAGAGTTGTATCCTAATTCCTTAATAATTACTACTTTGAATAAAATATTGGCAAGGTTACATCATACTATTACTAAATAATACTCTATTACTAAATAATACTTTACTACATGAAATTATAATACGTCTATTTGCCTTTGATCTCACAAAATAAATAGTTATTAAAAAAAATTGTTCCCTAGTTATCATAATACAAAACTACTACTAAAACAGATAATGTATTCCCTTTAATATATGTTCAATGATAGAAACATGTGTATTCATTGGTCCTCTCACAGAATAAATTCAACTTTAAAAAGGTTGTTATATACAATATGCAAAACTATACAATGTCTTAGCTGGATGATATATAGTTTCATTTGTTCATTTTTTATTTTGCTGTTGTTGTTGTTTTAATCTACTGGATTAACAATGCAACAACAAATAAAATAATATCAGTTTAAAAAGTTGAGAGGGAATGGGTAATCCGAGGTATGAGGGAAAGCAATGGAGTGGAAGCAAGCCATGATTGCGTGCCTTTCTTATTGCAAGTGTACCAATCACCTAAAGAAACAATTTGTGTATAGCTCTAGGATTACAATCAACCTAGAAACACTTCGCCTGTCATTATGTGGGCTAATAGGAAACACATTGCACACAGAACCAGAGCCACGTAGGCCCTATTTTGTGCCAGCCTGTGTGTGTGTGTAAGTTTTGATAGACATGTATCAATCTGGTAAGATTATTTACGTCTTGGACTGACTTTTAACGTCGCCATCTGACTCAGTTTCAACTCACATCTCCCTGTACAAGTACATTGAGCAGTCTACTCGCAAGTTGCTTATATGTTAATTGAGAGTGAATTTAAGCTTGTAAAAAATGTACTACAGAATTGTAATACATGTATTCGAAGCTCATATTTTGAATAAAGTATTATAACATGGAAATGCTATTATACACAAAAGAAATTATCTTGGGGTTTTTGGTACACTTGAATTTCCAAATGGAATGTAAATTGTAAAAGGATAATTTTGCGAAACAATGCTAAACAGACATGAGAATCATGAACATAGAGAGGCAGGGTGCATGAGACGAGACTGGAGGGGGGAGAGGGTGGCGGGGAGGGGATACAAACGGACAGATGGAGTGCCACAGAAAGTGAGACACAAACAAATAAACTGAAAAATGAATAGCCAAACTTAGGTTGAACAAGTTAAAAGTAGATGGAGATCATTACTTTCCCCTTCCCCATGTATAATGCATGATCTTCCAATGGCTATTTCTACAAGCAAAACCTAAGGAGCAATAGACCAGTTTACTAACATATTCAAATTATGAATGTTTCTTTGCTGGGGACCTAGAGACGAGGTATTCCATTAACCGGTTTTTAATGAATAAACTACAATACTCGGAATCCAGTCTGCATACATTACTTGTTGCTATGTCGGGCAAGCCTCGGCAAGCTTACGGGTGGTCAAGATTAACCTTTGTTTAAAAAGTATGCATAGGATTTGAATGTGTTAGTCAACCGGTCTCTCGGGGCACGTACAGCTATGCAGAGGTGAAAGGTTATGTCAAATGACCTTGTACATTCTAAGTTTCTGGGGAATCACACAAAGAAGGTGCGAAGCCTCAGTGGTAGAGCAATGGTCTCGTAACCGGTGAGGTCCCGGCTTTGAAACCAAGTCTTTGCACTCGTGCCCTTTGGAAAGGCATTGATTCTCATTACCAAGTCCCTCAGAGAGGACTTGCAGCCGTCAGTCCCCTGGTCGCTTACTAACAAGCATACAGACGCTTTAATTGCCATCAGGTAAAACAAAGGAATCAACCAAACATCAACCTATTGGAATCTACATGTAAAAAGCATTTGATTTGTTTAAACGTCAGAGGTTGTTATGTAATAATAATGCAAATATTTCATATGACATAACTATACTTACTATGTCCATGTACAACCCAGTGTCACTATACCAATCACAATTTATACAATAAAAATATATTATTTTGTTTGTTTGAATGGCTGTCTCTATGTACATCTAGGAAGAATCATTAATCAAAATAGCACGGCTACAACAAGTTCCTTTAAAAAACTACCTCACTACGCATCCAAGCATAGTCAAAACAACAACACAAAATCCATCGCAAACTCTGCCATTCCTTATGGCTCGTTCAAATGCAGAAGTCTGAATTCATATATATTTTGATAGAGAAGTTTGCACATATGCCCTATACTTCATCTCATCTCATAATTACCACATTATCAATTAACAAATAAAAGAAGAAAATACAAAATTACAATTTGAATTATTGGAATTCAATGGAGAAAAAAAGAAATTCCATTTTAAAAGACAATGGTTACTAGGCATTTTGATAGATTGTACTTGCATTCAAAGAATGGTTTTACTCTTAACAAATATGAATGAATCATTAGCACTGCATTTTAATGTATTTAGACTTTCACTAGATTTTACTAAGATACATCTAAATCAAGTGCAGTGACCATGAATCGTCTGATCTACATAAGGTAATGATTTTTTAAATTAAATTGTACTTATATGATTCTAAACACTATTTACCAAAACTCTACGTCGATCTTCTGTGAAAATTATCTTCTTTTTTGTGTTGGCAAACCAAAAGTGTAGAACAGGTGAATATGCATATTCACCTGTTCTACACGTTTTTACATAATAGCAGTGAAGGGATGTTCCTTTGTCTACCACAGCAATTGTTGAGGGTAGAATGAGGAACTGTATATTTTGTCCTCTTTCTTTGTCCGTTTTGTTCAGTGCCTTATAACACTTGTATCGACTAGTCTTGCACTGGACACAGTAAATCCTGAAGCCTTTGATATATCTATTCCATGATAAATGTCATGTGGCACAGGAACATCATTTCTGCATTGGTTCTCTTTCACACTTGGCAAGTTTTACCGTGGCTATAGAAAATAAATTCTTGAAACACCCTGAACTACCTATATAATATACATGAATAGTGTCCTATATTTAAAATGATTTTATCACCCAAAATCCAGCAACCATTTGAGAATCATCAATCAATAAATTAATCTCTATGTTTGTACAAGCCAGTTGTTTTGATAACCATATTCAATAAGTGATGGTTATACAGCCTCAATATGTGACTCTTTAGAACGACTTTAGAGCCAACAGGGCGTTAACTCAATGTATAAGAATATTAATAATACACTTCTTGTTTTCAACAGACTGTTTGCAATGCAATCTTAAACAAAAAACACCTCATGTGAATTGGCAGCTCAAGCAAAACATACACCATAGTACAAGCCTGAATGCACTCACAGGAGACATGCATACCATTACATTCTTATCTTTACATAATCATTATTAATTGTAAGGTTTCAATTCCAAAGTAAGAGCATAAAGAAAATGAATAAATTATAAGTTGTCCAGGTGTTCTCGGAAACGAAGCCATACATTGGAATACATTGCTAAACTGGCCTTTTTTGATATATCAGAAGCCACATCCGTCTTATGCTCTTACATGAAGCCAAGATGCTCTGTCATCTCATCAATAAAATCCACATCGACAATAAAGCACAGGACAGCACCAAAACATCCCGCCTCACGATCTGAAGAAGAACGCAGAGACGATCTGACCTAGGACCATAAAAGCGGCCAGTATGAACCAATCGAACCGAGAGAGGGCGCCGCTGGAAGCACGTGAATTAGATTGCTGTTGGACCATGAACGCTAGTCTACTGTTGATTGTCTTGAGTTCCTTCTGGACCTGTTCAGAGCCCTCTCTGATCGGACCGATGATGTCCTCTACTCGGACTCTAGAGGGCAGTGTAGTACTGGCTTCATCTGAAGGATATAGGAAATAAATGATGGTCCAATGATTATGATGAGAGTAGCGATTTTGCAAGTGAGGTCTTTCAAGGGTTCTACAACCCATCCTCTTGCGACGATTGCTCCGCCGTAACTTCCTACTCTCCCTAACTGATTTCCTAACTCTTAGAAACAGACCTTACAATGTGACTTTTATTATCATTATTATTATTATTATAGTAAACAGATTTAAAATTACATCCTGCCACCCATCTCCTCCAAGCGCTATAGTTCTCCTTAGAACTACATGTATAAGCTAAGAAAGATAACCAACAGTCTTTTTCAAGATTACGCCAACAGTCCTTTTCAGGACTACATACCCTCAAGAAAGATTACCGAGAGTCCTTTTCAGGACTCCTCAATCCTTCCTCTCTCTCACATGGTGCACCCGCAAGCCTATTGTATAAAAGTTACATCGTTTTCAGAATGCAGTCCCCAAGTCCTAAGGTGTGTCATGGCCTTACAAATCTGTGATTTTCCACTTACCTTCATTTTCGGTTACATCTGAATGTTCTGCGTATGAATCTTCACTTTCTCCGCTCGCTGGGTCGGGTGATCCGCTACCGATACGTGCTCTACCTTGCTTCTTCTTATTACGGGCATGCGTCAGAGATGCGTTGCGCTGAAATCAGATAAAGAGAACAGCAAACTTTAAAACTTTATTATTATCATTATTCGTTTACCTTTTTAGAGTGCCATAATTGTTTTATTCTAAGCAATAATACATCTACTTGAAATATCAATCTTCAACAATGTTTTGAAAAGAATATGTTCTTTTCTAATTTTTATATTTGTATATTGTTTTGATGACTCTTTAAAAATACATGTATGCAATTTATATTTTTTGATGTACATGTACTTCTACAACTTCCTCTTTTACTTCTTTTCTTCTTGTTTCGCCTCTCCGTTTTCCTGACTTTATGTTATATTCTGTTTTCTTATTCTTGCTGCCCAAGCAATCTTATCATATTAACTATATGTATTTCAATGTTGACAAATTAATTGTAACTGTATTTTATGTTTGAAATATGCAATGAGTGTTTTAATAACTGTACACATGACCAATTCAGCCATTGAGCTGCGACACATGTTTTTTAATAAACCTTGAATTGATTGATTGATTGATTGATTAATAACACAAACCTGAGGACTTTTGAAAATCAACCTACCATAAGGCACCTTCAATAACCATGTCCATGATTTCAATACTGCTTGTAAGTATCAGCTTGCATGGTGATGTATATATACAGTAGGCTTGCAGGTGCACCATGTGAGAGAAAGATTACTGAGAGTCCTCTTCAGGACTCCTCAATCCTCCCTCCCTCTCATTGTGCACCCGCAACCCTACTGTTTATGATTTCAATAGGACATACAATCAGATAGACATTGCCCAGGAGGTGATTTTAATAATCAAAGTCTTTGCTTCTTGTTTCCTCTAAAAACCCGAAATTTGGGCCTGCTTGAAACTTGTCAAAGATATGTGGCATTTTGTACCGGTGTGTTGGCTCAGTCAGTAGCGCGTCCGCCTCACAACCAGGAGGTCGAGGGTTCGAACCCTGGCCGCCTCATACCAAAAGACGTTAAAAGACGGTAGTTGCTGCCACCTTGTTTGACGTTCAATAATAGGGGATAGAGCAACGTCGATCTGGCGCTGCTCAGTGGCTGCCGGGCTCACGATCAATTGGGCAAAAAGAAATTCCATTTTCGGTTTAACTTAATAAAATTTGGAGTGGACTTTAAAAGATTATTATTATTGTTATGTGTTATTGATAACAAGTTTTATCAAAACAGGGCCCTGATGCATGAGTAGAAAGGGCATCATTTCTGCACACATGGTGCCCAGTTGGTTGAATGTAGAGGTGTCGTGGTCGAGTGGAAAAATCAATGGACTGTCGATCTTAAGGTCCGTGGTTCGAGTCCCGCCGCGGCACTAATGTCCTCTGGCAAGTCATTGATCTACATTTGCCACACTCAACCCAGGTGATGTAAATGGGTAACTGGCAAGAATTAATTCCTTGAAATGCTAGAGCGCCGCAGTGGCTGCCTTGCTAAAGCCAGGGTAATAATCGGGGCAGCCCCAGGAGCGTCATAAGGTGACAGACTAGTGCGCTATATAAGAAGACACCATTATTATTATTATAATGTGTTTGACGCCAGGGATTTAAAAAAAAGGAAAATAGGCTTTAAATTGTTTTTACTGACAGCCCTTCAAAAATCCCCAAAGGGTTAATAATACAATTCAAGTACAGAGGATGATTTTCAGCCTGTTTATTTGAATGATATAAAGCAGATACTTAGCTCTTACCTTCAACCTTTGTTTTGTTGGTCCATTCCTTCTGTTTGGTATGCTCACAATACTGGTTGTTCTTACTATCTGTGTTCTATGTCTAGTTCTGGTCTGTATAACACCATCCAACTCAAACTGCTCAATGTCATTAAGGATGTCCCATGGTCTCGTACTGAAAAATATAAAAAAAACATCATAAATAAATAAAATAATTCAAGAGATCACTAAAAAAATAAAGACTTTGTATCCAGATACTTAGAAATGTAACTCAATTAATTACAACTCCCATATTTTTAATATGTACAGTTATCAACTAAATTATTTATACCCTTACCAAGTTTTGTAATTTGTTAAGTATGTGAAAAATTGATTTGTCCAAATTTATATTCCTTGAGAATGAAACATATTAAAGCTCACATCTAACAGTATTCAACAAAGGCCCTAATTCAAACAGTCTACCTTTCATTCTTGAGTTATGAACACACACAAGAACATCACATTTATAAGGGGTATGAATAATTTAGTTATTAACTGTACCTAATATTACCTTCTACAGGGGTGATAGTGAGCACTAAAAAAAAGAAATAAGTTTTTTGTTTTCCCCTCAACCATGCCCCCCTTGAGTAAAAAAAAAAAAAAAGGATTTGCGGGGAAAATGGCATCTAACAACATTCCCCCCTTTCGAGTAAGAAAATTGGGACAAAATTGGTCAAAATTGGTCAAAATTTTGAAAAAATTAAGGGCAAAATAGGGAAGAATAGAGAAAATAAGAAGGGTTTGGGAAAATCAGGATAACATCGGGAAGAAGAAAAAAATTGTTACAAAAAAAAAAAAAAAAAAAAAAATTATATTTTTACAATCGGGAAGAAGAAAAAAAAATCGGGAATAAAAACGGGTTTTATCAGGCCTGCTTTTATGACATGTTTTACGAGTGTGATATATCATTGTGTCCCACAATATTATTACTATTAATTGTATGAAACCCAGTATCTAAATTTTTACCATTTCATCCTAATCTTTTCTTTTTGTATTCTTTAATTTGAACATTAAAAATGCAGGTAGGAAAATAAACTAACCCAAGTATTTTCAACGTGATGCACGTGTACATCGATTGCCTTAGCCTGTACATATTTCAACAGTATTCACATTTTTACGTTTTGCACACCCCAAACCATGAGATATTGAAAATTACTTAACGGTCATCATGAAACTTTTGCTCAAAGCACAAGATATGCCAATATTTCTGGTTGACTCAAATTTCATACAAATATTTATTTTCTTCCATTTTTTTCCAATTTTGAGGTGGCACAATGGCTCAGTGTCTGTGTGTGTAATTGGGTTTTTTACAGTCGTGTGCCTATCAGATATGATTATTTACATCTGGAGACCGACCTTTAATGTCACCATCCAAAAGATGTGACTTAATTTCGAACCTACGTTCCCGGCTGGATCAGTTTGTATCTTCCATTGTTAGCTGGATTGCAGGCGCACGCCACAACGCCCCGCCAGTGGTAGACAGCGGTCTTATAACCAGGAGATCCCTGGTTTGAAACCAAGCCCATGCACTAGTGCCCTTTGATAAGGCACTAATCCTCTTTACATCCAAGTCCCTTGGAGAGGACTTACTGGAGACAGACTTTTACATAAGGCCCGGCCTTCCTGTCTAGTCTACAAATACTTTCATTAATGTACATATTTAGAATGTTTTCCCCCTGTTCCTCATGTCTTCTCCACTTGTGTTATTCTCATGTCATTTATTGATAAATGTATTATATTTGAATTTTTAAATTTTTGTTTTCCTTTGTATATTTTTAATGAAAGTATTGAATAAAGTGAACTTGAACTTGAACTTGAACTTGAACTTATACCTGTTGGTTGCCTGGTTGCTTATTTACAAGTACAAGCTTTCTTAGCAGTCAGGTAAAACAATCAATCTGTACTCACTCCATGTGTTTATAGATCCAATCACTTGTGATGTCATCCCTCTCAAAGAGCTTAGGAACCCATTCCACCATCTTGATCTTCCTCTCCTTGAACCCGTTCCTCTGCTGCTCCTCTAAGATGTACTTCTCTTTGGTGGCTTCATGGACCTCTCCTTTACCCAGCGCAGCCGTCACATGGCTCCATAACCTGAATACAATATAAAGTCATGTGATGATATGATGTGAATTTAAAACCCCACCGCACTAGTTTGGCCAGGGGGGTATTTCATAAAGCTGTTCGTAAAGTAACGCATGACTTTACAAACGACTTGTATAAGAAGTGCCAGATAGGATGCCCAAAGTTTTTTCTGATATTTCCAATAACCTCAATTAAATAATGGCAAAAAAATAATACTTTGCATTAAAAATGTTTGCTATCATAAGAATGTTAATCTACATCTGCACAGTTCAACTTTAGTTGATGCAGTTAAAAATGATTGAGCATCCCATTTGGCTTTTCATATACAAGTCGTTCGTAAAGTCATGCGTAACTTTACAAACAGCTTGATGAAACACCCCCAGGAGGGAATAGACCTCCCTGCATTGTCACTGACAGGTGGTTATCTCATCAAATAAGCTCTCAATTAACATAAGAAAAAGAGGATCATGGGGGACCAATGGTCATCGATTAGGCATTGTTTGCTATATAGAGGGCGCAAGTAGCTGTAAGTAGTGCAATGGGGCTTTAAATGGATGTTTTCAAAATGTAATGAATTCAAAGTCTGAAGTGCAGAAGTTACCAATGTTAGTGCATATAGTTCCATGTCAATATATACTATATTCAAAATATGAGCTTCATATACTGAACTTCTGTCAAGATAAAGGAGGTTTTGAAATTTAAAATGCTCATTCAGTTACCATAAAAATGACTTTTGAGTAGACTTACGGCACCTGTATATGCTCGCTTGAAATAAGGCCTCCACTGGACCCAAATCTGCCCTGCATTATGTGAGCTCCAATTTTCTTTAGGAAATGGGTACACTTCAAACATTAATTCATTTTATTTTGAATACATCAGTTTAATAAATGTATTTTGATTGATGCATGTTTCTCTACGGAAACCTTGCTTACTGACAATTCAATTCACTAGTTTTAGATGTAATCCACTTTGCATACACATACATTGGTAGTTGCTATGTCTGGCAAAACTTGGGAAAGCTTCAGAATTATCAAGAGAAAGTTATGTTAAAAGAATAAGCACAAACTTAATAAAGACGTCTATCATAAAAGTGATAGGTGTATAATAAATGAACAATCAGAAATGTTCAGAAATATCAGAAATTAGTAAATATTATAGGAATATGATGTGAAGATAATACAGTCAAACCAGCGTCAGTGACCACCTGTACAGAAAGACCACCTGTCTATAAAGACCACCATTTATTGTTTCCAGTGGGCAGAGTTTCTAATAGAAATCTGTTGTAAAGGAAGCTATATATTACGACCACCTGCTCATAAAGACCACATTTCTTTTCTCCTTTGAGTAGTCTTTATATATATACAGTCAAACCTGTCTATAGCGACCGCGCAAGGGAAACACAAAAAGTGGTCTTTGTAGACAGGTTCCTTTAGTACATGATTCAATGAGAAACCATTATCAAGGGAAACACAAAATGTAGTCTTTGTAGACAGGTTCCTTTAGTACATGTTTCAATGAGAAACCATTATCAAGGGAAACACAAGAAGTGGTCTTTGTAGACAGGTTCCTTTAGTACATGTTTCAATGAGAAACCATTATCAAGGGAAACACAAGAAGTGGTCTTTGTAGACAGGTTCCTTTAGTACATGATTCAATGAGAAACCATTATCAAGGGAAACACAAGAAGTGGTCTTTGTAGACAGGTTCCTTTAGTACATGTTTCAATGAGAAACCATTATCAAGGGAAACACAAGAAGTGGTCTTTGTAGACAGGTTCCTTTAGTACATGTTTCAATGAGAAACCATTATCAAGGGAAACACAAGAAGTGGTCTTTTTAGACAGGTTCCTTTAGTACATGTTTCAATGAGAAACCATTATCAAGGGAAACACAAGAAGTGGTCTTTGTAGACAGGTTCCTTTAGTACATGTTTCAATGAGAAACCATTATCAAGGGAAACACAAGAAGTGGTCTTTTTAGACAGGTTCCTTTAGTACATGTTTCAATGAGAAACCATTATCAAGGGAAACACAAGAAGTGGTCTTTTTAGACAGGTTCCTTTAGTACATGTTTCAATGAGAAACCATTATCAAGGGAAACACAAAATGTAGTCTTTGTAGACAGGTTCCTTTAGTACATGTTTCAATGAGAAACCATTATCAAGGGAAACACAAGAAGTGGTCTTTGTAGACAGGTTCCTTTAGTACATGTTTCAATGAGAAACCATTATCAAGGGAAACACAAAATGTAGTCTTTGTAGACAGGTGGTCACTAGAGCAGGTTTGACTGTATTTTTGATAATGGGGACTTTTAGATTCGCACGAAGTCAATGTGGATTGCTACGATCGAGGTCCTTTTAATGCGCTGCCTTGAATGGACGTCACACGTATCAGTCCACGCAAATCTAAAAGTCCCTAATAATATAGTTTTGTCCTACCTCTCTGATTCATTCTCTGCCTGTTCATCAAACATGACCGTTGACCTCTTCAATCTGCTGTTCTTCACTTCCGAGGTCACTGCCCAAAACAACTCAGAATTCTAAATTGAACAAAGAAAGAAATACTGTCATTATGATTCTTATCTTGATTCTTTGATTTATCTCCATACTTTCAAGTTCTCAATTATACCTAGGTATTTTTTGTTGTATTTCACTTGTAAATCAATTATATTATTGTTGTATGAATATGTTGTATTTGATTTTTCAATAAATGCAGAAACATCTGCTAAAAAACTGTAGAAAAGTATGCATTTTCTAATTTCATGAACATTTCATGTACATAATCAGGAAATCTGGAGTAGTAAGTTACATAGAAATAATTTGTTTATTTTATTGGTTTGTCTGATGTGTATGCTTCTATTGAAAGAAAATTATTTTTGGAGTGGACTTGCCCTTTAAGATCTTAGCACTTGAAGATATATTTGTTGAAAAAATTGGTGTATCTCTTTAATATCCTTCTAGTATTGTGCGTTTGATATGCCTTAAACAATGTCGTAATCTACATCTACAAAGTCCTCAAGCAGGTTCATCCAGATTTAATAATCGTAATACTATACAGTAATATATATTACATGTCTGTTCAAAATATTGTGCTCTTGATATTGTTGTAGGTCTTTAACTTACAACATTTATTCATTTTTGCAAATAAAACTTGAGGTTGGATTTCAAATACAACCAGATAGATAACAATGGTAGAAGTAATATACATCAAGACAGGTAAATGTTGAGTCTGATACATAAATAAATGAATAACAATGTACTACGATCCAATTATTCTTATATTTTCTTGACAGGGAAAATTGTGGGAAGAAGGAGCAGGGGAAGAAGGAGCAGGGGAAGAAGGAGGATACTTTGGATGGACAGTCTGCAGAAATTGTTGGAAGAGAGAGGAGTGAAAGAACTGGGAGTGGTTCTATTAGAGAAGGCTAGGAGCCAAGGGTTGTGGAACAGCATGATCGCCAAAGTCAATAGATATGGCACTTAATAGTGAGAGAGAGAGAGATTTTCTTGTACGTCTACAGTGCATTATATGCATAGCATCAAAAAAGATATTTTCTCCTAATTTTCATTACACTTTTGTATGAAGTGATGCTAGAGAATCTTCTTGTTTGTTTGGATGTTTATCAATAATTTTGTTCATCGATTCAAATTTGCTTTTTTGACAGTAATTAGTCATAATAACATCTGAGAGCATGCAAAATTATTTCTCAAATAACTGAACTATTGACTTACCTCTGTTCTCTTATCCTTGATGTACACTTCCTCATCCTGGCGGGAAAATGAAACAACACAATAAAAATAAACAATCAATAATTGTTTTTAAAAAAATCAAAATACTTCTTTATGAACCAAAACTGAATCAAGATGACATTTTCAATGAAAAAAAAAACTACTGGTAACTCTGCTACATGCAGAAATTAAGTGTTGTGTCAGACTTTGTGAACCAATTATTTCATGGCATGAAATTTTGTAAATATGAACTATATGCGAAGTCCAACATGAAACTCTTATTCAACAAATGTAAAACCAGACACGTTGGCGACATGAGACTTTCATGATTTGTAAATCAACAATCAGCAAATCGGTCGACTGGCAAGCCCCAAAATAAGAGTGCTGAAACTGTTGGCAATAGAAGATCTATATGGAATGGGTAGAATAGACAATTTTCATAATGTAATCAAATTCAATGCATAAATCTTTGTTAGGTGCCATGTTACAAATTTCATTCACCTGTTTTGAACATTATGGCTCGTCCGACCTAACAATACTGAATGTATGCAAATGCCCATTCTGACTATTGGAATACAATTATCCTTAACAAGTAAATGAAATAATTGGTAACAAGGCACTTAACAAAAATGTGTGCATTAAATTTGATTACATTAAAATAATGGTCTATGAAGCACTCCTTGTGTAGAGAGACTCACCCATTTTCCACTGAGTGTTGCCAGGGTTTCTTTGCCAAACTTGATCTTGCCGTTGATCTGATTGGATGAATCGCTCCCTCCTAGGAATGGCTGCACAGGGAAAAACAAGAATCAGATTCAGATTTATTTCAAAACACAGAATATTGGCCTCCACTCGCATACCAAGCAATGAAGGCAATAAATACCATCAATAACAATATAACAATTTAAATGCATACATTATATAAACATTTCGCTCTGTCTATGTATCTCAAAAGAGACACACTATGACAAAATAAATTAGGGTACATGTAGACAATAAATTTATTTCATTTGGTATCATTCAAATATATATTTATAGTATCAAACTTTTTATCAAGCTTGCACAACAAAGGGAACATTGCCTAGGGCAAAACCAAATAAAATCTCATGACACTGTGTTCATTTTCATTATGTAAGATTACCGAGAGTCCTTTTCAGGACTCCTCAATCCTCCCTCTCTCTCACATAGTGCACCCGCAAGCCTACTGTATGTGTAATATTTGTGTGTGTGCATTATGATTAACATATCAGTATCTTATAACACAGAGTTCAGTGAATAATAATACACATAGGACCTTAGAAAGACACGGTTCCAATCCCTGACATCTTTTGGCAAGAAATTAATCTAAACTTTCCAAACTCCACCCTGTTCAAGTAAATGGGTACCTGGCAAGAATTAGTCTCTTGAAAAACTAGAGCTCCATAATGGCAGCCATGCTAAAGCCTGGGCAATAATTGTGGAGTGCCAGGAGTATACAGTTTGACAGACATGAGCACTATACAAGAATCTACTATCATTTTGTATTACTAATGTGTTTTAACTAGACATTTATCTACATTTGCCACACTTCACCCAGGTGAGGTGAATGCTTGAGCACCTTTTTATGCTAACTCAGCTAAAGCCTGGGTAATGATATGATTGCAGGGCCCTCAGGAGAACAGTATTAATACTGATGAGGCTACCTTGGGTAAACAAGACATATTTTTATTATTATTATTATTATTATTTATTTATTCATTATTTACAAACTTTGAAGAAAGAGCAAATACCTTGAGTTTGAATTCAATCTCTGTCCTGTAGCCAGTTTTCTCACATTCCAGCGTCACCTTGCCACCATACTCCATTGTTAATGTGCCGTAAAGAATACCTGATAACAAAATAACAATCCCATCAAAATACAGTTACATATTTTGCTAGAATCTACCATTTTTTAAATGTTTTTAAACTTTAATACACATGTTTACCTTGTGACAAGTTTGTTCATTCACCCAGTATGAATGATTGTATTGCAATAGACAGAATACAAATTGTTTAGTTACAATAATTGTTGATGACAGAATGCAAATTGCATACATTAGTTGTTGCTAGGTCAAACAAACATTATAGCTTGCCCACTCTAACAAAATGTAATGTATGATAGCTGCATATTAGATATATATATCCTAACCCTAACCCATTCCTCACCACCTTCCACTCGCTGTGCGTAATGACAAAGAACTTAACAAGGGGCCCTTCAACTATATTTAAAAAACAGGACAAACGCTTTCAAGGAAATAAAAAGGGAATAAGAATATCCTAGATGTATATATATATATATATGATGCCAAATACACTTGAAACCAAATGCTCAAGGTTTTAGGGTAATATTACCAAAGCCACTACTCACAAATGTCTAATTGCACTTTTTGAATCAACGATAAAACCAACAATCATTCATCCTCAACACGTCATGAAATGCGACATCATGTCGGTAAATAATAATAATAATAATACATAACATTTATTGGGCGCTTAATACAGTGTTTCTAAGCACACCATTGTCTGACTTAAAATTACGAACTAAAACTTTTAATAAACAAAAAAAATATAAATCTGTTCTATATATTCAATAAATCATGGATATATAATAACAAAAATAAAAATGAGATCAAACATAAGATCAAACATAAGATCAATCAAACAAGGAATAAGATGGTGTGCACCTCCTTCGACCGACTCACAACTGCAGAATAGCATTCATGAATTAAAAAGGTGCGTTTTCAGCAGGGACTTAAACTGGTCAAGAGAATTAGTATTATGAATATGCGCTGGTAAAGTACCTACTCTTACCTTTACAGTTTGCATAGGGCATTGTGATGAGATAGTCCTCGCCCCGCCCTAGCAGCATGAGTTTACCGACACCGTCCATGACGGCACAGACCGAGTTCCCGTAGAACTTGCTCTTGGCTAGGATGCTTCCACTGATACAGAAGCCTTCCTTCCTGTTTGTGATGTAGAAAGCCGTCACTGGAGGGTGATGGGATACCTGACGTTGTGATGCAAACCAATAGAAGACGAGTATTGAGTATTAGTATTGAGTATTGAATATTGATTAGACCTGATCCTAGTTCAACAATGAGACCGCAGGTCGGAGCTCAGACCAAAGCAGCACCTGCTTAACCAGGTTTGTTGAGATCCTTTGAATTGTGCTGAGACTGAGTCATAAACTATTCATACTTTCAAGCTTGCTGACATGTTAAGGTATTCATTGAGCCAAAGAATATATACACATCATAACATTTCTTCAAATGCTAAATTAACCCTAAGAGGCCATGCCCAAGGAGAGGGAGGGGGGGGGGGGTGCTCCTCCCAAGCTGAGTGACCAGCCAAATTTTATTTACTATTTTGCAGAGAGTACTTGAAGAACTTGGTGTATCTGAGTGAGTTTGAAGCTCTCAACACTGCTATGGATCTGTCCACATTGACATCCTCCAACAAGGCTAGTCTGGTCAAGGGTCCACGAACCCAGGGTGAGTAGGAGGTCCTATGACACCTGTTTGGAATGCTCCCCAGGGAGTGGAGATTGTGCACACAGTGTGTGCGGTCAAGTATTGAATTCAATGACCGGGGTAATAGTATATCTGTAAAGCGCTTAGAGTCATGGTAGATGCTTTATAAAAGCGGAAAATTATTATTTTATTATGACACCCTCTCTTCACTGGTTCAAGAAACTTGCTCTGTTTACTTCTAACTCAGACTCAATGTAACAGCATAAAAATCGGGACAGATTTTTATGCCACATGTTCGTGTAATCCCATAAACATCTTTCTATGTACAGTGCTTGTAACTTGACCAAGACTGGGCCAAATTTCTAATCATTCCAGAACCTTGTAGTACACACCAATACTTATATGCTAGATGATCAACCTTTTCTGATCAATTCCACACCGTTTCTTTCACAATGCAATCGCATGATCAGAACTCACTTTATCTTTGAGCTATCTAGCAGACTAAGTGTAAATGAATATCTTACCTGTTCAGCTATGTAGAATGTCCTTGTTTTGGTCTTGGGGTGTTCCCATAAACAACGGAATGTTTCTCCTATGATAGGATTGTACGGCTTCTTCAAACCCTGAAAAAATTAGAAGGAAGAAAAAAATGATTACAGACACGTATAAGGAAGAAGAAGGTGAAATAACAAAATAATGAAGATGAAAAATAAAGTTTAGGAGTGAAAAGATGAAGAAGAATGACAAGAATAAAAAGAAGAAGGGGAAAAAGGAGAAAAAGAAGAACAAGAACAAAAACGAGAGGATGGAACATAGAGAAGAAGTGCAAGAACAAGAAAAAGAAGAAGAATGAAAAAGAGAAAAAGGAGAAGAAAAAGAAGAAGAAGAAGAAGAAGAAGAAGAAGAAGAAGAAGAAGAAGAAGAAGAAGAAGAAGAAGAAGAAGAAGAAGAAGAAGAAGAAGAAGGAGTATGAGAAGGAAAAGAGGAAAAAAAGAAGGATGAGAAGGAGGAGAAGAAGAAGGGGAAGTGGGAGGAGGAGGTGGAGGAGGAGGAGGAGGAGGAGGAGGATGGGGAGGAGGAGGAGGAGGAGGAGAAGGAGGAGGAGGAGGAAGAGGAGTAGGAGGAGAAGAAGGAGGAGGAGGAGTAGAAGAAGAAGGGGAGGAGGAGGGGGAGGAGGAGGAGGAGGAGGAGGAGGAGGAGGAGGAGGAAGTGGAGGAGGAGGAGGAGGAAAAGGAACAGGAGGAGGAGGAGGAGAAGAAGAGAAGAAGGTGGAGAAAGAGAAGGAGGAGAAGAAGGGGAGGAGGAGGGGAGGAGGAGGAGGAGAATACATACCTTTGGTTTCTTGTAGAATCCCGATAGATACCACCGGACTACTTCCTTCATTCTGGAGAATGCATCATCTTCTTGTACAGCTCTGATAAAAGAAAGAAAGATCATAGATTCCTCAAATGAACTTGAACTATTCATAATCCCTCAACAAACTCGTCACCATCATCACCATACCATCTTCATCACTATTATCATCACATAATCATCATCATCATCATCATCATCATCATCATCATCACCATCATCATCATCATCATCATCATCATCATCACCATCATCATCATCATCATCATCATCATCATCACCATCATCATCATCATCATCACCATCATCATCCTTGGCATCATCCTCAACATTGTCATAATCAACTATGTGTTTAATATCACTCTATTATCAACCATAGTTATTAACACAGAAATTAATAGAATATACAATTGTATAAAAACAGACAAAGATCCTTAAAAAAAAAAATCAAACTTGGTAATTTTTCAACAAAGATCTTACCAACGTTCATCGTTTTCAGACGCATTACATTTTATTAGGGTAATGTAGTATTTTAAGGCTATCTGAGCTGCATGGCCCTACATGTTATCAGTGTCTGTGATATGGTGTAATATTGAAGCCCTAAACAAATTGCGCTTCAAAATGATCATGAAGTGCCTCAAAGTAAAAAAACTTGTGTGACCGGTTTACCATAATCATTTTCCCCAATAGACTGTAGTGTAATCAAAACCGTTAGGAAAAAACGAAAAATGAAATTTAGATTTTCAATCATAAATATTTTGATAATTAGACAGGCGATTGGTTTGTGAAAGTCATAGGCCCGTATTCTGAAGTCGTGTCTAACTAACTCATGTCTAAAGTTAAACAACTGTTTAGTTAGACACAACATAAACGCGAGGTCATGTCTAAGTCCTGTCTAACTAAATTTCGTATTCTGAAGTTGTGTCTAAGTCTCGTCTAACTAAACAACTGTTTAAGTTCTGCGCAAGTCGTGTTTAACTTTTAGTCACGACTTCTGCGCACGCCCAGTAGGCGTTAATTCTGACGATAGACCCAATCTGCATGCATGCGCGCACCAGATAAATAAATTAACGCGCACAGCTAGCTGTGCGCATGCTGGTACCATGGTGATGTGATCGTGACGTAATGAGTAAGTAAGTAAACTCTCCACAATGATGGCCATAGGTACTCACCTGGCAATGATGTCAGCATGGAAGTAGAAATCTGAGAGCTTGTCGAGGAAAGATCTAGGTTCCAGGACAAAGGTTGGCAAGACAACGCGTGATAGATCCATCCCAGGTCTGACCTGCTTCATCAGGGTCCAGATCAGACTCTTGTTCTCCTCTGCTAGGGTCTCCGTCTGGGAAATATTCTGGCAAACGAGGATAACAAAATCAAACTTGAATCAGTCACAATCATTAACTTGCAGGGGAAAAATACTTCAAAAATGACTGGGACTACTTTTCAAGCTTACTTGCATGAAAACAACACTCTTTAATCTGTTTTGCATTGAACTCTATGCAAATTTTCGGGGGCTCTTTTATGACTTTCGGTGGCTCTTTTGGGCATTACAGGGGCTACTTCGCCCGAGCCCCCGTGGATTTTTTTCACTGTTAACTTGGAATGTAGAGGGCAACATGCAGCAGAGAGCGAACAAAATTGCTGGCTTTAGATCACGTGATATTTTCTTCTCTGCCGCATGTCTACTGCGCTGCATGGCAATTATGTCTCATTTCAAAATGATGGCTTGGCTGAACTTGGTATCGAGTTCGTAGCTTATGAAATATCGTGATTCCTTTCTTGCAGCCTCAATTTTAGAGCGATAAAAACACCTACTGTCAACTGAAACAAATCAATTTATTTCTAAATCATATTTATTCAATTGAATTGAAATACAAGTTTGTGAATTGCATACTTTTAGTTCTTTATTTTTCAAAATATCAGTGTGAAATTGAATTTTGAAAAACCTGAAACTCAAATATTAAAATCCGGGTTTCTGCGTGACGGTCGGGGACCGGGCGGGGAACCGTTTTGACTCAGGCTTAATTGTGACAGTTAACGTTGTGCTCAATAGGTATTGCTGCACATTCATGGGATAAAAGCCAGCTAGGTACTTACAAGGCAAAGATCTTCTGAAGCCACCGGCACGTAGGTTGTTTCTTTTGTGTCCTGCTGAGCGACTTCCAACGGGGCAAGCTCCTCCACCTCGGAAGCTTCTGATTCACTCTTACTATCACTGTCCTTCACTCGCTCGTTCTCCAAGTCATCCTCATCGAGACCTAGACAAAACAATAGACCAGGGGGGTGTTTTACAAAGATACCAAGTCAAACTTAACTCTAAGCTTCTGATTCACTCTTACTATCACTGTCCTTCACTCGCTCATTCTCCAAGTCATCCTCATCAAGACCTAGACAAAACAATAGACCAGGGACCCTTTTCATAAAACTTATCATCAGTGACAATTGACAGTCTTTGTTATATGCTACTGAAATCCTTGCTTCTGATTGGTTATCATCATCATCACCACCATTATCATCATCATCATCATCATCACCACCATTATCACCATGAACTTCACCATCATCACCACTATCATCATCATCATCATCATCATCATCATCATCACCACCATTATCACAACCATTATCATCATCACCACTATTATCATCACCATCACCATCACCATCATCATCGCCATCATCATCACAACCATTATCAACATCATCACCACCATCAACATCAACATCACCATCATTGACATCAACATTATCATCATCATCATCACCACCACCATCATCATCACCATCATCATCACCACCATCATCATCACCATCATCATCACCACCACCACCACCACCATCATCATCATCATCATCATCATCATCACCATCATCATCACCATCATCACCACCACCATCACCATCATCATCATCATCATCATCACCATCATCACCATCATCATCATCATCATCATCATCATCACCATCATCATCATCATCATCACCATCGTCATCACCACCACCATCATCATCATCATCATCATCATCACCATCATCATCACCATCATCACCACCACCATCACCATCATCATCATCATCACCATCATCACCATCATCATCATCATCATCATCATCATCATCATCACCATCATCATCATCATCATCATCATCACAATCGTCATCACCACCACCATCATCTTCATCATCATCACCACCACCATCACCATCATCAACACCACCACCATTATCCCTCCTCCTCTCACCTTCATGTTTGAAATGTTTGTTCTCAATCTCGCTATCGTCCATTCTCTTCTCCATCGTCAGCGCTGAATCGTCCCTCATGGATCGCATCAGGAGACTAGAGCATCGCAGGGCAAGCTCCAAGGCATCCATCCAGCACTTTCCATCGGACTCAGACGGAGCCCGGAAGATCAGATAGCTGCCGGGAAGAGGCTGCGTGAAGGAGCCCATCGTCTCACCTTTAGGTCCCTGGAATGCAGTACAAAAAATATGGTTTTAGTATACAAATACTTCACAGCAGTGAGGGCATTGGTAAGAATTACCCACACAAGGTACCTTTGGAACAGTCTAACATGCCCGAGGCGATAGCCGAGGGTGTTTGGACTGTTTAGAAGGTACCGAGTGTGGGTAATTTTTCTAATGCCCTAACAAAATGATGTGTATTATTTGTTTTATAAGATAATGTTTTATTTTTTTAATAAAATAATGTTTTATAATATGATTTTACTAAGGACCGGTCATTAGTATTGGATAATGACCAGTCATTATCTAAATTACGCGTTAGGCAAATTAAATGCCTGGTCATGTACGCTTTCAACCAATCATTTGATTAGGATCCACGTCATCATCTTATAATATTTCATATACCCAAGGTTCCTAATTAGCTACTCACAGGACACATGTAACCCACAAGCGATTTGATATATCGAGGGGGAAATAAACACTACAATAGCCAGATTGTGTCTCGCCCACCTGTGAGCAATTAACATGATTGTCGCCAAAAAGCATCCCTGACCCAAGTTTGCTTGCACTTAGGAGAATGTTTGTAAAGTTAGTAGTCATAATAGAGGGTCCAGCAGATAAACTTAAACATACAAGCTCAAATGACTCTTGACTGTACATAGCATGTGACCCTTGACCGGAACCTGAAATGAAGGTCCCCCAAGAGCATCTATGACCCAAGTGACATTTGGCTTTAGCATGTGATCCTTGACAGCACCACGGAATCCCCCAAGTGCATACCTACCAAACTTTCACGGCAAAAATTATGAATATCTCAAGGTATACGCTTTATACAGAACTTTTCAGAAAGAGAGAAGAATCTATGGTTCAAAACAATCAAAACAAATGGTTTGCAACTTAGCAAGTGCATCTCTGACCCAAGTTGTGGTTGACAGTCTGGAAACTTATCCAAGTGACCACAACACCTCTACCTTTATATTGGAGTAACTCATTCTCTACTTACCCTGGTTGCCCATATAGACTGGTCCAGTGGATGATAGATCTTAAAACAGAAGCCGTCTTTCTTGGATGGTCTCTCTATCAGCTCACAGTTATTAAGCAGGATCGTCCCAACCCATTGCCCATGCTGTCACGTAAAAAAAAAGAGACAAATATTATACACATTGTATACATGTGAGTGTGTATGTCGTCTGACAATGTATTTTATTTACAGGACTGCCTGGCTATATGAATTCTGGGAAGCTAGTGTGTTACCAAAACAAAGCTAGATCGGCCACTCAACACAGGGTTTGCTGGTGTAAACATGGATGACTTTAATATTGATAGAGGTTTGAGTTAACTGATTACAGATTTAAGCTAAAACGCTAGAATTACCGTTTACCAACCTATTAGATTTGTTGTTATTATTATCATCATTGATGTTTTGCCGGGTTTTGTGAATTTCCTAAACGAATAGTAGCCTACTGTTCTACACACTACCATTTTGTCCGCTATGTATACACACATCCGACCAATGGATTCTCGGTTTACCAAACTGGGCATATGTATAAAGAAGGACAACTAATGGTCCCTTTGTCCCCCCTCAAGATTTCCAAAAACCACAGAAATCTGTGTATCTGGAGGCAAATTTCCTCAAAATAAAGCAAAAAAGTTACTAAAAGGAGACACTGTACTGCTATGGGTTAAAGTAGTCTACTCCAGGGACCCCTTTCACAAGGCCTTTTTTCAAGGACAATTGACAAAAATCAGTGACAAATTTGCTGATGACCGATCAGAAGCAAGGATTTCAGTAGCTTATAACAAAAACTGACAAGTTTTGAGAAATGGGGCCCAGAACAAAACATACATGTACAATGTACAGTGGACATCTGCAACAAAAGCTAATAAGACAGACTGAAAATCTTATCACAGTGTATTCATCTTTACTATTCCAAACATATGGATTTGTAGATGTTTATCCCCACAGCGCCAATGATAATTGCAAGTGCACATACGTCAAGAATTATGTTTTCAATAGTTGGGTTAAAACCACAAGCAATACACTGTATAAGCAGGTGGTTTTAAACTTCCAGAATTTCGTGCAGATTGGTTAATCGTACAGAAGCATTTGTGGTTTGGGATAAAAGTTTACTTGATCCTCTTGTAAGTGCAGTAACTATGAAACATAGGGTGTTGAGTTTTGGCTATCTCGTAGTTACTTGGTAGGTTAAAACTCTTTACACTTGTTTTTTCTGTCCCATGTGAATCCCTATAGTCAGTAGTGGATTGTCTGAAACTTTGAGGTTTCACTAACTTAAAGTTCAAATCTACCAGTGATATGGCCATGCATATCGTCGCTGTTTTCACAAAGTGACGGTAGTGAAAAAAAAAAATTGCATACAGTTTGCGTGACGATTTTCCTCACTACCGTCACTTTGTGAAAATAGGGACGATATGTACATGGCCTACCATACACTTTTCCCCTCACATACTAAATATTTGATTCCAACAAGTTTTGTGAAAACAGGGTCCTGTTTCATAAGACTTGTTATCAATATTAACAAAAAGCTATACTAATATAAGCTGCTGAAATCCTTGCATTTGATTGGCTGTGAGCAGATTTGTCATAGATCTGAGGCACTTGTTATTCAGTGATAAGAAGTTTTTATGAAACAGGGTTCAGGGACCTGTTTCACAAAGCCTTTTTTCAACGACAAATGACAAAAATCAGTGACAAATCTGCTGATGACCAATCAGAAGCAAGGATTTCAGTAGCTTATAACAAAAACTGTCATTTGTCACTGATGACAAGTTTTATGAAACAGGACCCTGGTGTAGATTCTTACCTTTGGGCTCTTGTAGATGACGAGTAGACCTGGTTTCAACACACACCATAGCTTGGTCCATCCTTTCCAACTCCCTCTCACCTACATTTTAAAATAATGCACACAGATAAAAGAAGTAAGACATCATGCACGAAGGTGTGAGTTAGTTCCAATCTAATCCAATCCAGGTATTTCTAAAGCGCCAATATCTAGTTGCCTAATCAAAGGCGCTGATGAGACTGAAAAACTACCAAAAATGTCTGTTCATGATTCTAACTGGGAAAGACAGAAAAGCAGTTGGCGTCAGTCAGCTGTCTGTCTTCCCCAACACACCAACTTAGATGGACCCAGTTCCAAATCAAATCATGTCTTTTAAATATGGTGAAGCGTAAGTTCAGTCCCAGACATATATAATCATGTGTGATTGATACACAGCTGTAAAATACCAATTAGACACACCTCCAAGAACATCCAGCCATTCAAAAACCTATACAGGTAATTGCAAACACCACCATTGGATGATTCCAAGGGGAAAACCTATTTACGGAACTTTTTGGAAGGCTACATCATCACATGAATACTAAATGATTTTTATTGTTTTGTGGAGGGAGGGGGGGGGGGGGGTGTTGGGTTACTCACCATCATAATAATAATAATGATATACCACATTTCTAAAGCACATACTCATTCGTGACAATTGACCACATTGTGTGTCTTGTCGTGTTTACTAGAATGTTTGTCAGAATAATAGCTCAGAAAGTATTCAAGTTCCGACATATAACAGTAATTTCAACTACACTTGTAAGTGTAAAGATATGATTATCATGACCAAGCAAGTGAAGTGCATGCGACCTCAATGGAACAATGACAGGAGTAACCGTGTTTAAAGATAAAGACCAGTTATGGTCATGTGATTGCATTGTGAAAGAAACGGTGTGAAATCGATCAGAAAAGGTTGATCATCTAGCATATAAGTATTGGTGTGTACTGCAAGGTTCTGGAATCATCAAAATGATCAGAAATTTGGCCAAGTCTTGGTAAAGTTACAAGCACTGTACACAGAAAGATGTATATGGGACTATGCGACACGTGCGCGATATCTATCAGGTCCAAACAGATATAATAATTTGCCAAATGTATCAATTAATAGGTGGTTTCTCGGCAAAATTTGTATCATTACGTATTAGTCAAAACATATTCTTTCACATGATAGGTAATAAGAGCTTCCATTTCATTTTTTGAGAGGGGGGCATTTCCAAAACTGATCTTTACCTTTAAATTTGACTGGAATATTAAGGGGCCCCTAAGAAAACAAGCAAACTGTGAGTTTATATATTTATAATATATGCAAGTAAATTGTCAGTTGGGAGCAGGGAGACAGGAATGAGTAGTGACTTGAGATATCATAACCAAGAAGATTATTTGTGTATTTGGACCAGTAAAAAATAATTTCTGCCACTGTTGAAAGAATACATTATTCATATTTTTCATTGATGATAACCCTTTAACAATCAATTACATTTTAAAAACTACTCCAAGTCAATAATGAATCCAAAAATTAATTTAATAACTTTGTCTCTATATTAAAAAAAAAAAAAAATACTATGTAAATAATAACAAAAGTGCCTTTTGGGGGGTAATTAAGTACTTACATCACAATGCAACTTTTAGCTACCGGTACATGTATATCACACTTAAATTTATCCAAAGAACATGCATTGCACTTTATTTCTTTGATCGCGCTTCAGTTATCCAAACAGAGAACCTGAAACCAACCCTCTCAAATCAGTCTTCCGCACGAACTGCAAATCATAGGAGAGAGAGAAAGCCAAGATATTGTTCTCAAAAAGGCTTACTCTTTATCGCTAGATGCTTTATTAAACCCAGCTCAGCGGCGGGCGAGTGTATTTGTGAATGTCAAGTTTCTTGTGTGAAAGCATATCAAAACCAAACAAATGCTTTCTCATAGGAGTATTTATAGCCACGGAGTAGTGACACAATGTCAGTCTCTCTCATAGCATTCATATCACTTTCAATTCCTTCTCGATCACAAAATGAGGTATCAAGCAAATAGTTGCCATGGTTACTTGTTCCTTCAGGTGCATTTAAATCAAAAGTCTCTTGGACGGAAAGTCCTTGGGATTTTAAAACATTTTTTTCATTTTTTCATTCTTTACTCCTTTTTTTTTTTTGGATCATGCACGTTTGAACATCCTTTTGAAATTGGTTCTGAAAGCATTATGGGTAATGGTGATGAGGCATAAAGCTAAACAAATATAATAACATTATTGGAATCATCAACAGTACTTTGGAGATTTAACAAATGCAAGCACTCCCATATTATACAGGTTTGGTAGTACATTCTGAGATTGGTTTCAAAATAGATTTGCCAACTACCGTAGATCTTTTTTTTTTTTTACTGTTAGGGTTAAAGCAAGAAAGACATAAGAAGGAGAGAGACAAAGAGACAGCAAAAAGAGAGAAGGAAAAATAAAATGAGAAGGGTAATAACAAGAGATACCAGGCTGACAAAGAAAGACGGAAAGACGAGAAAATTTTGCACGTAATCGTGATTAGCAATAGTAATACCACAAACTGATTGCAGTACAGCCATAATTTCTGCAAAAGTTTTTTATTTTACAATTACACATCAGTAATTTGGCAACACATAGTTTAAGTGTTGCCAATTGAAGTTACAAGACCTCGTAGTGATTTCAGTTCTTACCTTCATGTAATCTGCCATCACAATAATGGAGGGATCTTTGAGAGCTGAAAGGAGTTCTTACCTTCATGTAATCTGCCATCACAATAATAGATGGATCTTTGAGAGCTGAAAGGAGTTCCTTGGTCACTCTCTTCTTCTCCCTTCTGTAATTCTTCTTTTGCGCCTGAAAGTAGAAAGAAAGAAAGAATATGGAATTCAATTTTTTTAAAACTAAATTTAAGAGTTTCATCAGAATGTTTGTAATAATGATTTGAGAGTTTTTGTACCACATCCAAAATTCCGATTGGAAAAAATTGGCAGCTTGATTCGTCTGCAAATTCGTGTCTGAGGAAGATGTCTGAACTTTAAACATCGAAACAGGTAAATATTCCTTTTGGATGTGACACAAGATCTTTCAAATCAGAACAAGAAATGTTTGTGACCTTTGTTTTGTTTTTATCCATTATTATTATCACTATTATTATATACTGCTCAGTTTATAGACGTACATGTACATATTCTAATTACTTCTGATGTTAAATACAATCATTATGAAATATTGTACTCATGAGCTTACATAAATCTATTTGATAATGTGTAATAATTTGATTGTAGCACATTGTTATTTATATGTATCAGACTCTACAAATTCCTTGACTTTGTATACATTATTTTCTACCATTGTCATCTATCTTTTTGTATTTTCATGTGAAATTCCACCTGACTTTTCGTTCGCAATATTAAAGAAATATTTTTCAGAATACCCACATGGTTCTGCCGCCAATTGTAGAAATTATGTCTTCATGCATTTTCCATTCTCCATATGCCATTCCACTACATTTTGCTAAGACACAGTGTATCTAAAAGGGAGCTTTATATCATAACTGGTAACTCTCAAACAATATGAATTATTAACCAAGGGAGGAATGTTTTGTTGTACCTTAAGTGACTCTCTCTTGGAGAGTTTTGTAGGCGTGGTGGTCCTATGGCTGTGATGGGTTAGGTATCAATTAAGAAGAGATGAAGAAGGGATGTACCTTAAGTGACTCTCTCTTGGAGAGTTTTGTAGGCGTGGTGGTCCCATGGCTGTGATGGGTTAGGTATTAATTAAGAAGAGATGAAGAAGGAATGTACCTTAAGTGACTCTCTCTTGGAGAGTTTTGTAGGCGTGGTGATCCCATGGCTGTGATAGGTTGGGTATTAGTTAAGAAGAGATGAAGAAGGGTTGTACCTTAAGTGACTCTCTCTTGGAGAGTTTTGTAGGCGTGGTGGTCCCATGGCTGTGATGGGTTGGGTATTAGTTAAGAAGAGATGAAGAAGGGTTGTACCTTAAGTGACTCTCTCTTGGAGAGTTTTGTAGGCGTGGTGGTCCCATGGCTGTGATGGGTTGGGTATTAGTTAAGAAGAGATGAAGAAGGGTTGTACCTTAAGTGACTCTCTCTTGGAGAGTTTTGTAGGCGTGGTGGTCCCATGGCTGTGATGGGTTAGGTATTAATTAAGAAGAGATGAAGAAGGGATGTACCTTAGGGGACTCTCTCTTGGAGAGTTTTGTAGGCGTGGTGGTCCCATGGCTGTGATGGGTTAGGTATTAATTAAGAAGAGATGAAGAAGGGTTGTACCTTAAGTGACTCTCTCTTGGAGAGTTTTGTAGGCGTGGTGGTCCCATGGCTGTGATGGGTTAGGTATTCACCAGTGCTGTTAAGCTTTCCCTCCGACTGCAGGAAGACATAAAGAGAAACATTGATATTATTGACTGATTCATTCATTATCTCATTTATTCTTTTTATTTATTTCATTTCATTTCCAGGAACATAAAGGAGTGTAACAATAACAAAGAACACAAGAAAACAAATTACAATAATCAGTACAATACCAGGAAAAAAAAGCCATTAACTAATGCCTGAGGATTAGCAAAAGAAACTGAGTTTCTGTAGGAGGCTCTCCTCATTAGTTGATTCATTAATTTGTTAATTTATCTTTTTTTTTCTATTCATCCATTCATTTATTAATCTATTAAGTAATTTATTTATAAGTTAATTCATTCATTCATTCATTGTTCATCCATCCATCCATAACAGCTTGAAAAAGAAAGATCAGGTCTTGGGACACAAAACTTCACTCACTTTTTGCAAGGACAGCTTTTTCACAACAAATCGTCATGAATTGCAAAAAACAAGTGTTTTGTTGATTGTGGTTCAATTATTTTTTTGGCATGATACTTTTGCGAAATCTGGCATCACTCGCAAATTTCTGGTTTCATGATCTAATTGCCACTCCCATCTCATATCAAGCATTATTTTGAAACACACAGCAACAAATCAGAAAAAACGCTAATGAATAGTCTTTGCATAAATCTGCAGAGAATAAATCACAAACTTAAAAAAATAACATTTTCTGATTGGATTACATGTACAGTATGTATCAATGTTAAAAAAAAAAAAATAATAACAAGAACAAATCCTTGACAGCAGGAGGTGAAAGGAAGTCAGAAAACCTTGAAAATATACATGTATGACTGTCTTCCAATACAAAATAATTCCACATGGGTCAGGTATGTGCCAACAAGTACAGGCTTGAGATAGTCATCCGATCTTCTATGAACTTTGACATGGGTGAAATATATTGAGACTAAATACCCCTTTCAAAGTGCTTCTATCGGAGTCACACCGATGAAAATACCGATTGAATTTTCCTATCGTAAACAAAGGTGAAACCGCCGCTTTCGCTGCTGTCCTTTTCATACTGCGGGTGAAATTTACTCGCTGTGGTGAGCCCTTGCCGGATGTGAAGAATTATTGCGCAACTATTAAGCCCGCGCTCCATCTAGCTAGCATGCAGCATGTTCAACCATAAGTCAACAAACACAGCTGGTTACGATCAAGCGCGCGTACACTGTAACTTTTAACCATTTTCATCAGCCTTTTAATCTTCATTTTCTCCCGCATTCACAGTGGCTTTTTCACTGATAGAAAGAGAATTTAATCGCCTATTTCTCTTCTTTTCATCAGCTATTCTATCAGCTTTTTCTCCTCTGTACCATTCATAGTGGCCGTTTCATTGGATGCGTCCGGATGCATCCGATGAAAATCAGGCCAGTTTGAAAGGGGTATTTATAGGTTGATACTAACATATTTCAGTCCTTTACAAACAGAGCAAGCCAAATATTTTCAGTCTGGTATTTAATACAGAAAAGATCACATTCAGATGAATTGTATAGTAAGCAAATACCGTAATTGAGGTAATTGGGTCAAAAATAGAAGTAAAAGGTAAGGAAAAGAATGGGAGAGAAGGATGAAGAGAAGGGAGAGACGGATGAAGAGAAGGGAGAGACGGATGAAGAGAAGGGAGAGACGGATGAAGAGAAGGGAGAGACGGATGAAGAGAAGGGAGAGACGGATGAAAAGAAGGGAGAGACGGATGAAGAGAAGGGAGAGACGGATGAAGAGAAGGGAGAGACGGATGAAGAGAAGGGAGAGACGGATGAAGAGAAGGGAGAGACGGATGAAGAGAAGGGAGAGAAGGATGAAGAGAAGGGAGAGACGGATGAAGAGAAGGGAGAGACGGATCAAGAGAAGGGAGAGACGGATCAAGAGAAGGGAAAGACAGATCAAGAGAAGGGAGAGACGGATGAAGAGAAGGGAGAGACGGATGAAGAGAAGGGAGAGACGGATGAAGAGAAGGGAGAGACGGATGAAGGGAAGGGAGAGACGGATGAAGAGAAGGGAGAGACGGATGAAGAGAAGGGAGAGAAGGATGAAGAGAAGGGAGAGACGGATGAAGAGAAGGGAGAGACGGATGAAGAGAAGGGAGAGACGGATGAAGGGAAGGGAGAGACGGATGAAGAGAAGGGAGAGAAGGATGAAGAGAAGGGAGAGAAGGATGAAGAGAAGGGAGAGGCTGAATGTAGAGGTCTTTGAAAAGGACTAATAATGTATTTCTGCACTATGCAAATGGACATTAGTTTAATTACACTTACAGTCATTGGGAGGAGCTAACTTAGGAGCTAGCCCAGGAAGGGCATAAACGAGTATAATCGAATAATATCACAGAAAAACCAAATAACAAATAAAAACAAATTCTGTTAACCAGACTAGAATTCATTGTCCAGTTAGAACGCTACATGTACATGGTAGTCTGAATGTCCTATAAAGAAACGTTGTGTAAAATACACCCTGTTTAGCAGACGCACATTTGAGAACCTTTTTGAATAATAACTTGATAAAGAATGAGGGTCCTGCTGCAGTCCTATCGTAATAATAATAATAATGTTTAGCTTTTATATAGCGCTTAATACAATTGTCTCTAAGCGCTTTACAAATATACCATTACCTGGTCATTGGATTCAGTGCTTGCCCGCACACACTGTGTGCACAATCTCCACTCCCTGGGGAGCATTCCAGTCAGGCGTTACTTGACGCTCAAAAACTGTTTGACCAACAATGACGGTCGCATCCTACCGAGTACCCATTTAACACCTGGGTGGAGAGTAGCAAGTGCAGGTTAATATCTTGCTAAAGGATATCAGTGCTGTGTCAGGATTCGAACCCTCGATCTTCGCATTTCCAATCAAGCACCTTAAACCACTCGACCACGACACTCTCACTCATATAACATCATATACTGGGCAGAGCTTATCATCTCTTCAAAATAACTGTTTCTTTATACCGTAACACATTGTTCTATAGTTTGTATGCTCCTCAATCATTTTCTGCAAAAGTAATTGCTCGGTGGACTCATCTATCAAACTGAAGTGAATAACCTTTCCTGAATCTTTTGTCAACATTCACCATATATCAACTCAAGCTCAGGTCTGCTCATGGAATTATACTGTGAGAGAAGCTTTCTGGAAGCAATGGGGAAACACCAATATGGGTATATGGGACTACACACAAATGTTTGGACCAAACTTTTCAGTTATCTAATGTAAATGTCATGTATCAAATATTGGAAAATTATCAATATTTTGAAACACTGTACATGTAGAAGCACGTCCAATGTTCCTTTTGTAAACTGTATTTTTCCAATCATGTTGCTGCACTGCAAGCTCGAAAGGGTAAAATCTAGAATCATTTGGGCAGCATGAACATTACGTACAGTAATTAAAGAGTAAATATTCATTTTTGGATTGATATCTGGAGAAAATTATGTATGGTATGTTTAAATAACTTATACTGACACTGTCTCAAAGACACAAAGACAAAATATAAGTCTACCAGTATGGGAGAAATAATATAAGCTGTTCACATCTTAACTTACATGCAATTTAATGATGCAATTAGTAAATTTAGCACGGCTGAGTGATATATTAATTTTGTCAGAAAGTGTGCTTTCAAAATCTGTATTATTATCACCATCGTCATCATTATTAACGTATTAAAATGATGCAACTGAATACACATGTCGAAACAAGTGTACTTTGCTAAACCACAATTATTTCACTCTTTGAAAAAGATTATTTGCCAAGTCAGAGGATTGCGCAATTGTCTTGTGACCATGACGTCATACACATTTTTAATCAAACGTAACCACTACTCCATAGTACATAGCACACTGTTAGGCCATACTTCAGTGGTTCACCATACATTATTAGAATATTATCAAATTGTCAAGACTCAAGAGGCATTGTGAAATATATCATTTAAAGACGTCACGATTGTTCATGTTTTTTTGTTATAATATGATAGAATACTGTAAAAGTAGAAATATTTGCAGTACATTAATTTTCACGGATTTTTGCGCTAACATCGGCAAGCACGAATTTCAGAACTTACAAAAATATAAGCAAATCAAATCAAATCATGCACTTTTCGTGCGCCGATAGGAATGAAAACAATGGAGTGAAGTGTACAACGCAGATTTAAGAACCGATAAATATGTTTTGGGGTCGCTCGGCGCGAAAAATGAATCACACAAAAATAAGAGCGTTAAGAGTAGGCTGTGAGGGGTAGCCATTCAATTCATATCTCAATGTGCTGGGAAAGTATCATTAGTGTAGTAATTTTTGTATTCTTTTCAAAATGATTGAACAGTTCAACATTGCAACTTGGCATTTGATTCTCAATATAAAAGGCTAAATAGAAACAATGTCTGCTACCCCCCCCCCCCCCAAACACACACGTGTACTAAGATACTATTCAAGAATCCCAGCTGATATTTAATAACTGTTCATACTTATTGAATGATTCTAACTTTGCAACAACAATGAACAAACAAAATAAAACGTTTTCCATGCCTTCACAAGGTTTAAAAAAAAAGATGCAATGAATCATATTACCTTCATAGTTCACTTCAGTGGAAAAAAAATGAATAGAAATAAATGAAGCATGTTGAAGCCAAACCAAACCCTGCTTTTGAATATCTCTTCAGCTTAACCTTGATCTTTAAACTTTGAATGCAATGGAATTTGGAATGCCAAGACTAAACAATGACAACCTATGGGTGAATAGTGCTCAGCCATTAATAAAGCTTATTCAGACCACAGACAATCTACAAAACTCATACATGTATAAAGAAACGTTTTGAAGAAACGTCGAATGAAGAAATGTTGTATGAAGAAATGTTGTATGAAGAAACGGTGTCTGAAGAAACGTTGTATGAAGAAACGTTGTATGAAGAAACGTTGTATAAAGAAACGTTGTATGAAGAAACGTTGTATGAAGAAACGAATGAAGAAACGTAGTATGAAGAATTATCGTATAGCAAAAGGATCATACAGCAAAGAAAGCGTACAGACTAGAAAGCAACATCATCTTGACAAACAAATTTTGAAGAGATCAACGTTCTGACCTGAGACTAAAAGCCAGCCAATCAATAATGCATGCTCATGATGAGCCCCGCCAAATTTTACTATTTTCATATGATACAATGTTCATACACCATAAGACATTTAACTTTTCCTTCTATTTTCAGAAATGTACTTTAAACTAGGCAAAAGGTGGTCTGCCCCCTTGTTAGTTACATTAAACAGTGTCTGCACAGTTTCGAGACTAGGCTGACAGCAAGTCACAACATACTGCATAGGCTCTTTAAGCTGACAGAGCTAGACTCTGCTCAAGGCTTCATGAATTGTTGTAAAGTGTCAAATTATAGTCTGTGCCTGGAGAATAGACTAAAGAGGGGAAGGGCACCAACTAAGGATTAATCTCCTTCTATATTGGGATCTATTCAACACAGAAGTGGGAGTGGCACTAGAAATAGGAAAGGGGGGGGGGGGGGGAGGGGCACCAAATAAGGATCAATCTCCTTCTATATTGGGATCTATTCACCACAGAAGTGGGTGTGGCACTAGAAGTAGGAAAGGGGGGAGGGCACCAAATAAGGATCAATCTCCTTCTATATTGGGATCTATTCACCACACAAGTGGGTGTGGCACTAGAAGTAGGAAGGGGGGGGGGGCACCAAATAGGGATTAATCTCCTTCTATATTGGGATCTATTCAACACAGAAGTGGGTGTGGCACTAGAAGTAGGAAAGGGGGGAGGGGCACCAAATAAGGATCAATCTCCTTCTATATTGGGATATATTCAACACAGAAGTGGGTGTGACACTAGAAGTAGGAAGGGGGGGGGGCACCAACTAAGGATTAATCTCCTTCTATATTGGGATCTATTCAACACAGAAGTGGGAGTGGCACTAGAAGTAGGAAAGGGGGAGGGGCACCAAATAAGGATCAATCTCCTTCTATATTGGGATCTATTCACCACAGAAGTGGGAGTGGCACTAGAAGTAGGAGTCATAGATGTTGGGCGAATGTAAACGACAGAGAGAAGATATCTTGCTTGTTCCTGGTTTATGTAAACATTGAATTGTGAAGAAGCTAAATCAATAACTATGACAAACTTTTAAAATCATGACTACAAATATTGACTACTCCAGAGTGCAATACAACACAATATATAAAACGACGAATTCAGTATGTTTCAAAGTGATACTGTATTTCATTGTGTCTGCAGGCTGAGGTTGAAATATAACTGCATGATGGAAATTCTGAATTTGGAGGTGTATATACAGTTCTATAGAACAACAATATGTGCATTCAATATTTCGTCCTTGTTTTCACGAAGTGACGGTAGTGAGGAAAATCGTCACGCAAAGTGAATGCAATTTTTTTTCACTACCGTCACTTCGTGAAAACAGCGACGATTTGTTCTAATATTCAGGTTATTTTGGCAATTTCATTCCTTGTTTTTGTTTTCTCTCAAGCCATCTGTGTGTGGTTTAGACAATATAAACCATGATGGGAATGACGAGGGTAGCTTGGGTATGCTATATGGCGTACCGGCTCGACCTTGCAAATGAGAAAGGTTGTTGCATTGCACGCTTGAGCAAGTATAACAAATCATTAAGTGTCACGTGACAGCCATAAGGATGCTCCCTAACAAATACCCCATTTTATATCATAAACTATTAAGAATATTGTTGCAAAAAGAATTTAATCAAAGTATTAAAACCTTCCCCAATATCTTAAAAAATTGGTAAAATCTAATGCTCCAAACCTGATGTTTGTTTAGTGGTGATCAAAAATAGACTCAAGGAGGTTCATAGAGGAATGAGATAAGGAAGATAGGTAGCCTGGCCTGCCGGAGGAGCAAAGAGAAATCATTAATGAAGCATGACTACAGCTCCTCTTCATATAGCTATCACTATGAACCCCACTGCATACACACACACTGCAGAGCTGAGTTGCCTCGGCCATAAGCTCTTCTCATTAGCTGCATCAATATGTATCCCCCAATGCACTTAGTTAGGAGCATTACTCTGCAGAAAATAGCTTGCTTCAACTGTTAGTATGGCATATTCGTCATATATTCTCCTTACGTGTAGATGAGGCCAAATAAAAATGATTCCTAGTTATAGCCTAAAAAACGATCTTATTAAGCTTAACACGAGCATAATACGAGCTCGCAGGGAGCTTAAATTTGTATAGGGGAATTACTCTGCAGAATATAGCTTGCTTCAACTGTTAGCAAGGTATATATTTGTCATATATTCTCCTTATGTGTAGATGAGGCCAAATACAAATGATTTCTAGTTTCTCAACCCTTCCTCCCATTTTTGTTGGCCTGCTTCAATTTTTATATTTGATTCATTTGTTCTGAAATGTAATGAATAACAATCTGGGCAGGGTTTCACGAAACCGTCATAAGTACAAATTCACTGTCATCCCATTGAAACCGAAGTTAAACTTAATACAAGCATTTCAATGGGATGTCGTGAACTTGGACGGTCTCGTGAGATGCTGCTCTGAAGACATCTAGACGCTGTGGTTAACAAACAAAAAATGAAGTTTCACCATGTTTCCAGCCTCTACGGTGCTACGTATGACATTAAATGAACAGAGCTTACAGTATGTTGAAATTAACTTGATACTCATAGCATTTCAATGTACAGAAAATATCAAATGTTGAATGACATGGCACTCCCTCCTCCTCAGTTTTGAAAAATCCAGACGAGAAAATATGATTGAATCAATTCTAGTTTCTACTTGGCCTTTTGGTGAGTGGGTGGCAGATTTCCAAGCAAGTCAAACTACATGTAATGTGTATGTTGACAGAAATGGCACACCATGGCTTCAGCCATGATCAGTCCAAGTTCTCGTTGAAGGTAGGGGTCAAAGGTCACTTTAAAGCTTGTTATCAATGCCAGGAGAGAAACAAGGCCTGTCTGACTGCCAACAGAATTTAGTTGGCAGCAAATTGCTAAAGACAAATACCGAAGTCACAAATCTTTCACTCAATAATATTCATACACATTAAATGTGGAGGAAACATAATATGACTAAGGAGATAATTGTCTCCTTGACGCAAGCTGATAGTGAAAGCCACCACGTTGATCACGGGAGGGTTCAATCATGATGAATCACTTCAAAATTCGGCAGAGAATACAGGAACATCGTCTCCTTCTTGATGAGAGCACAATGTAAAGGCATTGGTTCAAACCTACCTGCACAATGTCAAGGCAAGGCAATCACTGGAGACAGACTCTACATGATACACGTACAGCTAGCAGAATGCTTGCTGTATCTTATCCACCTTGTAAACACTTACATTGAGCATAGGCAGAGTTGTATTCTGGTCCCGCGTCTCTCAATGCTCGATGTGCACCATGGACTTCACGGAAGCATGTCAAGGAAGATTAACAGAAGGAGAGAGGGAGAGGAGTGTGTTGCTGTTCTCAATCAAGGCAAGGGCATACCACACTCCAGACCAGCTGTTCTACTATACGGCATACCTCACTCAGTCTGGCATGGACTTGCAATGAGAGCTGGAGTATATAATCTGGACTGCTAATGCTCTCTCAGTCTCGGCTGTCTCGCTCTCTCTCTTTTCCTGTTTCAGTCACGGCTGTTCCTGCACACAACATGCCCTTGCGCTTGCTTGCTTGCTTTCACCGTTCACCAACTGTAGGGCTTCATTCGCTAGTCTAGCATACAAGACCCTTTTGCGTAACTGGGCGTTGTGGCGTGCGCCTGTAATCCAGCTAACAATTGAAGTTACAAACTGATTCAGCAGAGGACGCAGGTTCGAAACTGAGTCATGTCTTTCGATGGTGGCGTTAAAGGTCGGTCCACAGATGTAAATAATCATATCTGATTGATACATGTCTGTAAAAACCCAATTACACACACACACACACTGTACAATGGCTGAATGCTGTCAGAAGCACAATGTATACATCATACCTGCCAACCTTCCATTGAAACAAATCAAATCTCTCAAGGGAAATTAGGAAAACAATCCATTTTTAGATGCTTTTACACAGAAGAATTGAATAAAAGAGAGGAATTTAGGGTTCCTAACACTTTACTACAGGCCAAATAATAGGAATTATTCTTTCGAAATAGGAATGGTTTACAGCAAAGATATTGAATTGTGTTCAAAGAAGACACAGGACTGAAGGTTTAAGACCGACTTAAGGGTCTAAGGAAGCCATGTTAGATTCAAAGTACTGGTCATTAGAAACTGCAATGACTCAGTTAAAGTAAAGTAAAGAAAGGTTTTCAGTAGACATATATTTATTAAAACCGATAATGACCAAGCACTATGTGCATTGAAACTCACATCTATTAGTTTATATTTGGTATGCTCTTCAAGACTAGTCATTGTCAATACCACAATCACTAGACTGTGTGTAAGCTGCCCTCTGTTCAGGTCACCTGATATTTTGCCTAAACAATATCACTGAGACACACCCACTTTTAAAGGGACATATTAACATCATTTTTTGCCCTTATTTTCTAATAACTTACTTTCTTTCTTTCTTCCTTTCTTTCTTTCTGGATTGATTGATTGATTTATTGATTTGTTCAGCCAAATACTTATTAACTCATATATACCTACTTTGGAAAGGGGGCTGTAATAATCCACTTGGTAGTGTTTAAAATATATCAAAACAACAACTAAATAATATATTTTTTGTAGATAGTCATTTTGACAGTTATATCTCTCTATAAACAGAATCTAATATTATTCCCTAAAAGCCCATAGGAAACTATTAATACCTTTCTGTGTATTTATATATAATAATAATAATATAAACATTTAATGTAGAAATTAGAAAGGAAATTGGACAGAGTGTTGTTTTTTATTACTATTCCTTTACAATGTGTTGAATGTAACATTCATGTACGTCACCAATCAGAATAATCAAATGGATTCTGTCATTTCTGTGAGCCATTAATAGTTTAATCTATAAGACCTTGAAATATGATTATATTGAAACTGTTTTTCACACTGTCAAAAAAAGGATCACCTTCTAAACTGAGGAAACAGCATGTAAGCCTGGGTTAGTTAAGCAACTTACATGGAGTTAATGACATTAAGTCAACTATTGTAAGTTAATTGGTACTCTACTGCCCTGCTAAAGCCATCATCTTTTCCACATGTACACTGCATATAGCCCACATGTTATCTCAATAAGTAGGGTGTGTCCCTCAATATATACCTGTACATGTATGAGGTATGTAGTGTATGCAGAGGCAGAGTACTGCTCTTCTTAAATGGCGCTTTCCAATCTAAATTTCACAGATACAATGTAAAAAGAAATGACCGTAAAAGTAGAAATATTCACGGATTTCGCACTAAGATCGACAAGCACAATCAAATTTAGAACTCGTGAAAATATTAGCATGACTTCTTATGCATGTTTTGAACGAGCTGAATTGCAAACAACGTGAATTTATGATTTCCTGTGCCTATGAAAGGAATACGACCCAACATTAGGATGTTGTTCGGAAAAATGTCCCAGGCCGGGAACTTAGTTTTTTGTTTATTTGTTTGTCCTGCTAGTACCTTGCCATTCATCAGTATCATCTAACACAATGAAATCTGACCAAATTGTACATGTCGGAGGGCTTACCAAAAGTACACATTGCTTTAATATCCATGTATTCTATGTTCTGATTTAGAAAAATGTAAAGCACATAGAGAATTCTACGAATTATTATGCGCTATATAATTGAGCACTTTCCATTGTTATTATTTGTACACATAAGCTTTGAGAAGGGGTTAAAGTGAGTGGGCAAAAGGCCTGTTTTCATCAGCTCGAGTTCCAAATAACCCGCTATTTCAGACTCAGGATATTATCCCAAAGCTGGAAATTGCGTCCTCACCAGACCAATATGTTCATCACAACTAGCTCGGACGGGCGCAAATTAGGCCACTACTTCCCAAATAGCAGGATATTTAGGAAACAAGACCAAGATTTCTTGGGATATTTTATCGACCAAATATCCCGCTAATTGCAACTGCGGGCTGATGAAGACGCAAATTAACTGGTTAATTTGGGATCGGGATAGTTAACATATCGGGTTATTTGGCAAAATGAAGCTGATGAAAACAGGCCTGGTGAGCATAAACAAGGAAGCCTTTCCTGATTAGATTAACACAGGATATGAGACAGGATAGAGGTCATAACACAAGGACATGGTACACTAATAATAGCCATTCAAATAAGGGCACATTACAGGTGTATTGCTGTTTGGTCTACAACCAGTTCGTCTACTTCCCAATTGGTCTAATAATCATTTTGTCTACATATTTTTCAGTCGAATGTCCATTTTGTCTTCTATCCATATGGTCTATATAAATAATCACCATAAAATATTATTAGACCTTATGGGCTTTGGAGAAACTAGGCGTGTCTTCACTATCTCGAGATTGCCAAATATCCAGCTATTTGAACTATCCCAATCGAAACTATCCAGCTAATTTGCGTCTCCATTAGACCAAAGTAGCAAATTAGCTGGATAGATGGTCGGGATAATATCCCAAGATATCTCGGTCTAGTTTACAAAATATCCCACTATTTCCGAACTAGCGGGATAGTTTGCGGAGTCAAATATCCCGATCCCATCATGCACAACGATTTCCGGCGCACATGCGATCTATACCGCTCAGCGCGCTGGTACAACTAGTAAACACGGAAAAACGGAAATCGTTGTGCATGATGGGATCGGGATATTTGACTCCGTACTTCGGTCTAATGAAGACGGTCGCAAACTATCCCGCTAGTTCGGAAATGGTGGGATATTTTGCAAACTAGACCGAGATATCTTGGGATATTATCCCGACCAACTATCCAGCTAATTTGCTACTTCGATCTAATGAAGACGCAAATTAGCTGGATAGTTTCGATCGGGTTAGTTCAAATAGCTGGATATTTGGCAATCTCGAGATAGTGAAGACGGGCCTACTGAGAATAAGACCGACTGATAATTAGACTAAATAAACAATAGACTGATTGGAGAGTAGACCAAACAAAAAAAATCAGACTAAATGGCTGTTAGCCTAAATAGTCGTTAGACCAAATGATAAGGAGACAGAATGATTATAGATCATGTGGATAGTAGACGGGCTGGGTGTAGACCATATGGAAATAGACCAATCGGGGAGTAGACGAATTGCAATATACCGGTTACGAGACAGGATAGCTCTGGTCATGAGACACGGTCAAATCCAAGACTGATAGACTGATAATAGCCTCTTCAAATCAGGGAAATTACATAATAAAAGCTTGTATATAAACATTGTCCAAAGAAACAATATTTGAAGAGTTCATTTGACATGTGGATGTGCCATCATGGTCTAGTGGGATGAGTCTGTGACTCTGGACTATGGAGCACAAGGTATAGGGTTTGAATCCCTATCATAGCACATGTGTCCTTTGGCAAGACGGTAATCTACATTTGCCACTCTCGACCCAGGGGGGTGTTTCACAAAGATCACAAAGATGCCATGGTCTAGTGGATAAGTCTCCAACTCTGAACTATGAAGCACAAGGTATAGGGTTTGAATCCCTGTCATAGCATTTGCATCCTTTGGCAAGACACTGTAATCTAAATTTGCCACTCTCCACCCAGGTGAGGTAAATAGGAAACTTGATAAGAATTATTTCCTTGAAATGCTACAATAAAATGCTACAACAACAAGGAAACAGATTTTAAAAAAACAACAACAACACCAGGGACAGCCCAATGAAAGTAGGATACACACAAATAGTATTGACAAATTAATGAGCAATTAGGAGAGGCAGGGCAAAGTATACAAGCTGAAAAAAATGCTTAATGAGTATGATAAAAAATGAGGCTAAACCAACAAAATATACTATATTCCTATTTATAAACAAAAATATCACAAATTTCTCCTATAAAGCGGCTTCTCCTTGGGCACTGCTTGAAGTATGGATTGTATATTATTAAAGGTCCTCTTAAAAAAAAAAAGACCCTCCTATTTCATACATTTAGATTTCAAAAAATGGAATTAAGTCATTTTGTGTGTTGAAACAAATGGGAAAGTTGACAGGCACTACATCACAACGAAATAACTGATTCAGCCAATTTGAAGTGCCCAGACTTGAAGACTTGAGCAATTTTATTTAGCTAACCTAAATGATAAATACAACACTGACATATTTCAAGTAATGGATTCAATATGGTCCGAGATCTGCATAGTTTTCGAACTAAAACACATTGACTGTAAAGGCAAACTTCAAATGCTTATCATTATAGACTTACCCTACTCCGCTGGGCCTGGAACTTTGTGGAGGCTCGAAGGAGTTCCCGGGTGAAGAACTCATCCTGATCTTCAGCGCCTTGCCCTGCATAGCAACAACAATAAAATTTCATAAATAACTAACATTTAGGAAAGCTTTCAAGACTCATGGTCTATCATCTCGTGCACATGTGCAATATTTCTGTTTTGATCTCCACAATTAAATGAGATTTCTTTTGAAGTATACCAATCACCAAATGAAATCAATATCATTACCAACCTCTAAAAAACTTATCCTGCACACAGA